CCCCCCCCAATATTAGCCATAACTCTCCCAAACGAAACGTCCACCCCATAAATAAATAAATAATTAAATAGTCCACCACTCCAACGTGCAGAGTGTTGATGATACAAAATAAACGTAGGAGTACACTTGAACAGAAAAAGACAGTGCAACACTCCGAAACTAATCGCTCCTCGCTTGCATTCACTGGTTTATTGGAGCAATTGTAAAGTTTTGAAACTCTATTATCTCCCCTGAATAGAGTTTGCAGTGCCTTGTCATGCAAATAGCTTGCTTGCAAGGAACGTTTGGAATTTTTACGAACATTATTTTTAGTTTTTAATTCTTTTAGGAAATAGACTTGCCTAGATTTAATCTTTACGCCCCAAATATTATTTACATCGGAGTTGCATCATAAATTGTACTTGGATTCAAACGACACAATGTCAATGACTTTATAAAAGTAAAAGCATATTGTGTATTGGGTTTACACTTTTACAGGTTCATTTAACTTTAACTCTCTCAAGTCTCAACAGACAATCGGACATGCCAAATCCATTGATATGACAACTTCTAAAAACTTTTTTTCGAAGCTAGAAATTATGATTTTTTTCAAATTTTTCCTGGAATACTTTGTTTTCTGCTCTCTAGACTCCCCCTCGCGGCTCTAGTGCTCCACCCCTAGAATATAGACCTTATTGGGGTTTGTGACACTTTTGTGTTGCTTCAGTCACCTGCTCACGGCTCACCCCCCTAAAATTTCTGGCACCACCCCAGTAAAAAATATGAAAATCTGTCTATGCATATAATATCAATGTGAGTAGTGATTTTATTTAGAAAAGATGAAGGGGACAACTCCCTTATTTTGTTTGGAATAGAGTTCCAAAGGTATGCGCCATCAGACAGTTCATGAAACTGTTGAACAAAGAGTACTTGAAATAACAGTAGGAACAGGCAATAAATCAGTCATATATTAGCAACTCCAGTTTATAACAATTAACAATTATGAACATACCTTAAAGAAGTTACAGTTCACGACCTAACGTTTCGACACTCCAGTCTAATGTCTTCATCAGGAGTGATCTGAATGTTGAAATGAGTTCCTTTTTATGCAACATACTCTGATGTCATAGATGACATCATCAGAGAATCCCAGGTATAATTACAGGATGTCACAATATGTCTCATAAAAGGGGACTCCTTTCAACATTCAGATCACCCCTGATGAAGACACTAGACTGGAGTGTCAAAAAGTTGGGTCGTGAACTGTAACTTCTTTAAGTTACATTCATAATTGTTATAAACCAGAGTGGTGTTAATACTGTATGACTGACTACTGGAAATGTTTCAAAGAGTATGGTTTGTCATCTCACCCTGATAGACAGAGTGGAAGAAGCTACAATTTAATGACTTTCAAATCAGCTAATTCACTTACAGTATATTTTTATAATTATACTTTAATTGAAGGTGGTAAAATCATTCTTAAATTGTTCATCACGGAATGAGATACTGTATAATATAATAATAATAACTTTATTCATACAAAAATACCATTGCTGATATGTCGAATTACAAACAAATAAACTCATTACAGTATATGGAAAAAGAGCTTAAGATACAAACTTACAATTGGTCAAATGTTATTAAAATATCATAACAGAATTTAGCAACTAGTGAATTTATGGATTCGTCTTTCATTGACATAATATATATGACTAGGGGTTACTATCGCAAGGAAACTACTGCTTTGGATCCACAGGCGAATACTGAAACGTCAAATATATCTGAAAACTAAATACAAAATTATTTTCATTTGGCTTAAAATACATTTACATGTACCCATCTGGGCAACCAAGAGGGGGGAGGGGATTGGCACGAATTGCCCTGGGCTCCACCTTAATAGGGCCCCAACTTGAGAGCAAAAGCCTAAAATTGAGTAGGTTCTTTAAATTGGTCAGAGAATTTTTGAAATTGAGGGCCCCTTACAGTACCTTCACATGCAGTCTAGTTAAGGTCTAGTTGGGTCTAGCTAATTAGAAATAATGATTTAATGGGGCCCCCAGGGAAGATTTGTCCTGAGCCCCACAAATTCTCTGGGCGGCCCTGGTACCCACACAATGAAACACTGTATGTACGATTTATTTCATTTCAAAAATTGAGATTACAACACTTCAAAAACTGACTGTACAAAAAACTATTTCAAGTTTACAAACTAACATATTCAACATATACAAATTAAAAGAAGAGAAGGAAGAAGAGAATGAAGAAAAAGACATGTAGACTAAGTGCACTAAATACAAACATACAATACACACACGGTAGAAGTAAACAGACTCAGACAGAAATGACGATGAACATAAAAGTACATGAGCACAGACAGGCACGCAATTTGCATTTTTTGAAAGAAATAGGACTGGAAAATATGTCAGACTTCTTTACATAGAACATTCCAGAGTTTGACCATACAATCTTAAAGAAAGAAAATTGAAAAGTACATGTAGTTGAACAGAGGAGTTTGAAGGACAGCACTAGCAACCTGACTAAGTTGTGTACAACCATGTTCAACAAAAGAAACAGGAGTCATAACTGTTCATGTTAATGTCAATATCCCCCCCCCCCCTCCCATGGATGAGGTCAGTAAAATTTTAACCACTAAAAACCCCTCAAAAATGTGTAAATTTTCCCCAATACCCCTTAGAAAAAATTGCAGAGATCAAAGGAGGCCGACAGGCTTAACCCCTCAGAAACAACTTCAAATGTAGTCACCCTTCAGAAAAATCCATCCATGGGCGGGGGGGGGGAGGGGGTTGGACATTAAATGGAATGGCCCATAGTGTCTTGCCTCTGACATAACAGAGGGATAGAAGTTCCAATGTCAATCTCTCCTTAAAGGTGTCCTACAGTCCGAACTGCGCATGTGCACAAATGAGCCCACCTTTTATGATACAAACAGTTTAACTATGTTTTGGGTTCTTGCAAAGCCTGATTGTTGTTTCTTGATAATTTATTATACTCTAGAAGCTTGAAAATATAAATAGTTGTCGAATAAAGCTCAATATTTTGGACACAAAAATGTAAACAAAGGCTTTGTTTACATACGGACTGTAGGGCACCTTCAAATGTCATTTCTCAACAATTATCCATTTGTGTCTATATTTTTTTGAAGTAACAATCCATAGAATATTTCGAGCTGTCAAGGATGGCACGACTTGTTGGTGTAACTGTATAAATCAGTACATAAATTCCAATGACTTTATGCCTATGTATGCCTCAATGGTCTCCAGTCACTCCACCACAAATATGGGCCATAGACACATTTTACTAGTAAGGTTCCAATAACCAGATGTTATCTGAAGTAACACAATTTGGAATGGAAATTAAATATACACTCTATAATCTATATATACAGTTCACTGGATATTATAGAGTTCACTGTCGCTGGGATTGAGAAGATATTTCACTAATTTCAGGATGATTGAATGAAATACGAATATGCAAAATAAAATGCAAAATAAATGCAGATTAATCTGTGTATTGAGCAATCATGATCAACTATTTAGACTCAATACGTTAACTGGCAAAAAAGAAGAACATTCACAAAGTAAACAGAGCTTGTAAATATATATATAAAATTGGATTTTACTCAACTTACCACGAAACATGTAACTCTCTGACAGCTCTCCGAAAAAGGACTCAAACTCTCAAAGGAGTTCGGGAAGCATCGATAAAAAAGAACCGCACCCCCCACTTTTTATAATAACTTTGCACACTTAAATACCTCCGGTTTGAAAATCCGGACATCCATTTGAAAGTCCAAGTCGAGATTTGGAACGGCTTTACATAACTCAGCCAAAGACACTGGGCACGAGTGAATGCGAAGAACTTCATGTTACGTCAAGAATAGTGTGCTGCTTGCAGCAAAAAGATCATGGTTATTAAAAAATCTAAAAGAATAGTTAATTTGAAAAAGATTGGTAATGAAGTTTGTTCTAATCACTGTGAATTTTGTATTGGTACATTGCATTAAATAGTGTTGTTCATTACCAACCTCATTCAAATCACAGTGGCTACACATTCTCTCCTCATATGGGATATTGTTGTAGCGACCAACTTCAACTGGTAATCTGTGGGTTGAGATTCGGAGTTTCATAACTGCTTGGCGATGTTTTATATTGTTAACTTCAAAAATATATTTTTCTGGGTCAAGACTTGTTTTAATTTTCTTAAAACTTCTTAGTTTGCCCCGATTACCACCTTGTTGAATTTGTTCTTTCCAGTAGTTAATATAAAAGTTTTTAAATTCATGCTTTAAATAATGGCAAAAGTTTTTGAATTGAACAAAATCGCTGTTTATATTTTCATCACATAGTTCTAACAAATGTGTTGTTAAAGCTATTGGTTGTAAGTTCATGGCTATACAAACATTTCTTGCTTCACCAACGAGTGTGTCATTATATGACTGATCGTTAATACGCAACCAAATTGTGGAATATAGAGTGGTAGGCTCGTAAGGCTTTATTGTATAAAACTTTATGGGCTTGTTTAAAATTACCTGAATAGTGGAGGTTTATGCCAAGATGTGAGTATTCTTCAACTTGTTCTTTGATACCCAATTTGATGTTAAGTACGTACGTCTTTGAGTTGATGTTCCAAATACTAATACTTTAGATTTATTTTTATTTATTGTTAGTTTCCACATTTTTGTGTATGACTGAAGTTTAGTTAAGCAATTTTGTAGACCAGATTTTGATTCGGATAGTATTACTAAGTCGTCTGCATAGAGCAGACAACTCAAGTCAATATTACCAAGTTTGACCGGATCGCACGAGCTATTGAATAAGTTTTGGTATATCACTTACAAAAATGTTGAAAAGTGTAGGACTAAGATTACAACTTTTTTAACTCCTATATATGATTTGAAGAAAGGAGTAATTCCCTTGTTTAATTTAACAGATGAATTTACCGAACAGTACATACTTAACATAAGGCGTATGAATTTTTTGCTGCACCCATTTATGATTAATTTGTAAAAGAGACCCTCTCTCCAAATGCTATCATAGGCTTTCCTAAAATTGATGAAACAAGCAAAAATCGGTTTACGTTTTAATTTATATGTATCAATTAATGTTTTCAAAACCAAAAGATGATCTGCTGTTCTGTAACCTTTCCTGAATCCAATTTGGCACTTGTTTATAAATTCTTTATTTTCCAAAAAGTCATTAAGGCATGTAATCATTATTGATGTGAAAAATTTTCCTAAACAACTGCTCGTACAAATTCCTCTGAAGTTATTTGGGTCATCAGTATTACCTGATTTATGTAATGGCACTATAAACCCTTTAGACCAAGCTGAAGGAAATACGCCCTGAGAGAAAGGATAAGGTTGAATAAGTTAACAAAGTATGATGGTAAAATTTCCACTGATAGTTTAATGATTTCATTCGATAATGGATCATTGATTGGCACATGCTTTTCTATTTTTCAGTTTTTTTGAAATCTTGTATAATTCTTCAGTGGAAATCGGTCGATCAAGAATATCATTTTTTTGTGCTGCCCACTTATTGTAATCTTTAACAATTTTGGCTTCAGTACTTGACTCCTCTGAGCAAAGATGCTCATTCTTATTGAGGTTTTTGAAATATTCAAACCTTTCAGAAGATATTTTATTATGGTCTTTAGACTTCTGACTAGTCTTAATAGAATTTACTAACTTCCAATACTCATTGGGGTTATTGTCGGCTAAAGCTTCAATTTTTTCTAACATGGTATAATAATGGAACTGTCGACAAGGCAGGTATAAAAGTCGGACCGGATTGTGGTCCGGGTCGGATGTTTAGAAATTTAGAAATATCAGGATATTCAGGGAAATGTTACTTACACAAATGGAAGTTTGCATTCTTTCCCGCGTTATTTACACAGCGTGAAACAGCGTGGCAAATTTGCAAAATGGATGGCGACGAAGTTAAAACATTTTATGTTATTAGATTTTTAGACCACTTTTTTGAAAATTATTGCATCAAACTGCCTTATCAATATTTTATTTCCTTTAATTCCGGACTAGCGATTTGGTCATCTATGGATCCGGTCCGACTTTTATACCTGCATGATCCGACCCGGACCACAATCGGGTCCGACGTTTATACCTGCACGATCCGACCTGATCCGACGCGGACTGGCGATCCGATCCAATGCAGACTGGCGATCCGGTCCGACTATTATAGCTGCCTGTCTTTTCAGTTTCCTTAGTAAACATTTATATTCTTTCTTTTTTGAGAAAAATGTATGTTTTAGATATGTGTTATTTGGATATTTAGTAATCAATTTACCTAGGTTTCGAAGATCCTTTTTGAGTGTGTGACAGTTCTGATTGAACCATTTTTGTCTTTGTTTTGGAATGTTTTTCTTATTAACTTTTCTACGTCCCTTCATTTTTAACACTTTACTACATGAGGCACTCAACAATGGAGTTGATATCACAAAGAGTTCCTGAGGATGTTTGAGAAAACAACTGTTCTAGTTTAATCTGAACTTCCTTGGAATCTAAAACAATCCCCAGGTTGTCTTTTAGGTTCTCATTCCATGAAAACGATTCAGGGTGAGGCATTATGTTTAAATCATCTTCTGAAACATTGGGGGTTTTTGCACTCAACACAAAGGATAAACAAGAATGGTGGGAAAATTCATTAACATTGTCAACAGAAAAGTTAATAATTGATTTTAAGAGGTCATAAGAAGCAATAGCATAGTCAACTACACTTGCTCCATTGTACGTGTGGCAAGTGTACTGACCAGTGAAGTCTCCTTTAGTTCTCCCATTTAGAATAATCAGGTTGTTGCCAACACATAAATCTAATAATGATCTTCCATAATTATTGTGTGAATCTTTTGAGCATCGTTTTTCGATTGCAATCGGAATTTGAAAATCGTTTTCAGGAAATTCGTTGTCAATAAAATCATTAAGTGTCCCCGTTCTTGCGTTAAAATCTCCACATAAAAGGATTTTACCTAGTGTTCCAAATTTATAAATCTTTTCTTGAGGACATTCGAAATGGTCAATATTAATTCTTAATTCTCGGGAGGAGTTTTATGGAGGTACATAAACTGAACATATGTAGATATCATGGGACATTTTAAAAAAGGATTTATCTAACTTCCACCATACAAACTCTTCAGAACTATCCTTTTCTAAAAATTTGATTCCTTTTCTCAGGTTGGAATGAACCCCAACGTGATCATTGGGATATGTCTTTTCTGCACATTGAAAAAGATTTATAACCTGGGATATTGATATTATTAAAACCATAAGGTAGCCAAGTTCCTACTAGTGTAATTAGATCAAAATTTGTGATTTGGGAGATAAAATCTGAGTCATCTAGTTTTGCAGATAAGCCTTCAATGTTCCAAGTACCAATTTTTAGAAAATCTCTTGCCATTATTTTTAGTAACTTTGATCTTAGGAACTGCTATTGAAATATGTTTATGTATGGTTATATAATAATCTAGGATTGTCGACTGGTAATTGGTTATACATTACCCTCTGTAATTGTGGTTGACCAAAGTTGAAAATTGAAACGAAATGGTTTAGCAAATTGTTCATATTCTGCAGTTGTTCTTGGACTGTAACTGTGGGTTTCAATGTTGTGGTTTCGATTTGGGCGTTTACAGGTTGGTTGAGTGGTAACATTGGGACTGGTGCTGGTGGAGTTATTTCTGGTGCCATGGTGTGAGATTGGTTTCTTGCTTGCGGTTGCGGATTCGATGTTTGTTGGCAGCTATTTCCATGTCGCTGTTGGGGGCGGAGGGCACGAGGTAGACCATTTTTAAAATTTTTTGCCAGTAAAGGAATTCCCAATCTCTTGCTGAGGTGCTTTGCGTCATAGAAAAATTTGTATTGCCTCAGATTCCCGTTGTAGACGTGCTGTACATTGGATAAATCTTTGATCCTTTCATGGATGTCATTGTTGATATTGATTATAGCTTGATCAAGATTATCAGTCCGAGGGGTAATATCAGACAAAATTATTTTTCTTCCTGGAAACATGTGGGATGCGGCTTCAACCAAATGAACTTGATCTTCAATGATTTTTACGGGTTTTAAATGTTCAACATCATTAACTCCCGTATTGATTATCAAAGCTTGATTAACTGTGAATTTTGGATTATTTATGATTTCAGTTGCCTTTTTTTCCTTTTTTTTTCTTCCTTTTTTTTCCCTTTTACCACAGGCGATCATTTTTGTGTTATTAGATGAGCATAGCTTATTAATGTCTAGGTATCTTCGATTTGAATCACACAACATGACAAAGTCATAATTAGGAGTTTTTCGAGTCTCTGCATTTGTGTTCTGTGATGTAATTTCTTTGTTAGTCTCCTGGAGTTCTGTTTCGCAATGTGTTATGCTCTTTAATTCTTCCGGGTTTTCTACGTCATTTTTACTGGATTCTGCAATATCGGTTTTTGTCAGATCTTCGAGTTGAACAACTAAATCAGTTTCATTTGATTGGTCATCTAAATTATTTTCATTTGTTGGCTTTCCAGAATTTTGGCTTGTTGAAAATGGTGCTTTGTTAGCGGTGTCACATTTCTTGGCTTGTTCTTCAAGAACTGTGATTCTCTTGATAAGGTTGCACTTTTCGTCAACAAGGGAGGCTACCCGACCCCGTACTCGGTTGATTTCTTTTTCATTCTGAACCAAGAGATTGTTCGCTTCATCTTTAAAATTGCACTTCTTCAATTAAAGAATAAAATATGTTAAAAGGGCAAATCTTGGTTTAATTAAGCTTTTAGAAAGAAATACAAAGCTTTCCAGTTCAATATATGGTGAACAAGCCATTGACTCAGTCCACTTAGTCAAGGTACAATTATGATGCAACTCTTCTTTTGGTAGACATTTAAGTCTTATAGAGTGAACTAATGGTTTGAATTATTAAATTTCGTTTTGCAAATATTGGAAACATTTTGCATTTAAAAATAGAAAAAAATAATTATTTAGATCAACACATGGAAAGCATAATGTCTAAATGAGTGGCACTGAACTAATTCAACTAAATGCAATATAAGTACAACTAACTTGGTCAAACTGGTTATGTGGCATGTTTTTTATTTATGTTGGCACATGAAAAGACTATACGTTCCAAAATTTCTTTATTTATTAATTAATGCATAAATGAACATTTGCCCATGGTTTGATATTTTAATTGATTATAGTGCAATATTTCCATACTGTTTATTTTCCAATTTAAATAAATGTTATTGTATTTCTTATTCAAATGCTACTAAGAACAAAAGTATGCTTTAAAAGCACTAAAATATTTTTAAAAATTGAAAACTCTAATATGTTTAACAGTAATAGTGAAATTTGGAAAAATGCGGCTCATGGAGGGGGTCAATGGACCCAGTCCATAGAGGGGGTCCACGGACCCAGTCCAGACAAGGGTCCATGTTTTGTACTTTCCCTATTTTGTGACCTCTCTTTCCATACATCAAATCATTGCTTGTTACTTGACCACTGAAAGTACTGTATGTTTATTGTTTAATGCAGTGTGAATTGAATTGGTTCTGAGAAAATTATGAGATATAAATTAAAATTAATTACTTGGGCCGGTTGTTCAAAAGGTGATTATCCTAACCCAGGATTAGTGTTAACCCAGGGTTAAAATCCACCCTGCAAAAAACCGAAAGAAACCACGGAGAAGATAATGACTCTCTTTGAAAACGCTCCGTCCTTCACCGGACTACATGGTTTTGAAACAAGCGGTATGTTAAAATACAATTGTTGGGCAAGTTTAGGCAGGTTTGTTTGGCAATAAACAGCCAATTCATGCGCATGACCACATGAAATTCATAACAGTATGGCTGAATTTTACATGTATTAAATATTTATATGGAAAGACGTTCTATATTCATGGCAGTTTGTAGCTGAGAAAGTTAAGTATTTCTGTTTCATACTTCGATAAAGGAAATCGGAAGCTTGTGGTTTCTTTTGCATGATTTATTTAGACGAAATATAAGGCGAAACATAGTCTGAATACTCAAAATTCGATAGTTCAAATTTGACAAGTTATAGTTTTTTATTTTAAAAGCTAAACAATTTGTTTAATAGTCTCGTAATTTCATGCAATACTGGTAAAATCAATTTTAAAATGCATGATAAATATTTTATTTTTTGCATAGCGGAATCAATGACGTTGCAAGACATGGCAATGAAGTTTCCACCGCAGAAAGCAGTTTTGAAGTTGAACCAGTGGCAGTGAAAGTTCAAAGCTTTACTGCCTTTGATACACTTGACAGCAATGACGACTTAAATATGACTCTACCACCTTCCTGTACACCAATTACCCCTTTTAATGTGAAACAGAAAACCAAACCTTTACCCCTACCTGCAGGCACCCAGACCAAACCAGAGCCAAAAAAGAAGAAAGCTACGCTGAAAGATGTGCTGGAAATGCAGCTGCTGGAAGTCCTGAACATGCAAAAAGAAATGATGCAACTCAAGAATGAGAAACCGGTCAGTATAATCTGCAGACTGCAGACCGCAGACTGCAGACCAAGTACAAAATACAGAATAGGTATAAATTGCAGACTGAAATTGCAGACTTGGTATAAAATGCAGACCGTGAAAAAACATATATTTTAATATTTCATACTGTCACGAAGTTCAAATTATTTACAAGTTCGAGTTTGCGGTTCATTGTCGATGCATGTTAATGTATATAAGCTTTGTATGCTTCATATAAAAAGGTTTAGAGCGATTTTCAAAATATTTTAGTGAAAATTATTGCAAAATTTAAGCACAACAAAATCATATTACTGCTATACAGCTATAGTCAGGCGTAAGCGGGTTTAGTACACATTTGTCGAGGATAAATTGTTCTTTCTCAAACTTATAAAAGTCATTCACTACACAAATTTATTTTTGTGACATGGTTTGTTGTTTCTTTTAGTTTGTGTATCTGGCTCATTTTAGTTCAATATTCTTCACTCGTTAGGTATTAAATACGGTTTAAAATGTCTTAATTTTGCTTACATTTGCTATATTTAGCAGTTCTCACAACTCTTGTGACATAAAACTGACATTTGAGTCTTAGATTATATTTTGGTAAGTCGCATAATTTTGAAAACGGGTGTAATGTGTAGTTTTATACGTTTTTTTCACAGTCTGCATTTTATACCAAGTCTGCAATTTCAGTCTGCAATTTATACCTATTCTGCATTTTGTACTTGGTCTGCAGTCTGCAGTCAGGGCCGTTGCGAAGGGATATGGATTGGGGGGGTGTCGAAGGTCAAATTCCCGAGTGACGCTAGTTGAATTTGCCAAGTTTTTCAAAAGTTTGTATATAGGTAATGAGGGGAAAAGTTTGTATAGGTAATGAGAATCATATTGGTGTGCTAGTAACTGAGGGACACCAATATGGCTCTTGTTTTGAAATATGGATGCCTGTTCGTGGGTTGTTGCTAAAAAGGAATCGGGTTGCTTTATATATAAAATACGACATTCTAAGAACAAACAAATATATGGTCACGAAATCGAAAAACACAATTGCAATAACTGCAACCACAGCTCAATGATGAGCACTATTTTATTTTCGTGCGTTTGTTTTCAGATAGGAGTATTATTTTAATTTATTTATATTTAAACATATAAAGCTAAAAAAAATTTAAATTTACCATAAATTTATACTGTGTTTTCATAAGTCCTAAATCGAGACTGAAACTATGTGCACACGGGTCACGTTTTTGAGCGTTTTTGCAGTGCCGTTTTCAAATTTAGCGTTTAGGCGCCTTGTTCAAATTGATCGTTTTTCTCGCAATATTTTCAGACAAAGCACTAGTTTTTTATAGTCTTCGTTTCCAAATTTAAACACGGAATTTCATTTTCGCCTTCTACTTTTCTGTTTACACAATAACAAAGTGTCAAAACGACCAAAAGTTTCAGACATAGAGAACGAATCTTTGGCATCGTTTTCACTATTTGAAACGTTTTTGCTTCCTGACGTCGTTTTCATACGTTTTCGTGTGAACAGAACGTAACGTGAAAATGGTACTTTCAGTTTCAGAAATTAACGCATTACAACCAAAAACCGAATTTTGATGAATTTTGATGAATTTGACCTTTTTTATCCCCAGGCGCCGAATAGACAATTTATAATATTTTTGTATTTTCAGCAGTCTTAAAACTCTTAGTGCCGGATAGTGTTAACTGGGCTTTTGTACGACCCGATTTTTCAAGAGTTTAATTAAATTTTATGCGTCAGAAAGCGAGTAAAACGGATATGATCATATGCAACCGATCGATGATACCGATCGCTGTATGCGGTATGTCTTTCAAAACTATAGGCTGATAAGAGTTAACAGTAATTTCGCTAAAGAACTAAAGAAGACAAGTCCATTCTTATGGCATGGGTCGTCTTTCTCTTGGTCTTCTTCTCATGTGCCTGTGGAGTCTTCTGTCTTCTTGAGGATCTTGCGCCTCTGACGACTCAAAATATTCTCTTTGGCTTTGACTGCGGTTTGCAGTCTCAAACGGATTAGCTGGTACGTCTTTATGTGCTACTCGCACTTGGTTTCCCTTATGGCAAGTTTGCTCGTGCCTCTTACGGTAATCGTCGGGCCGTATGTTAGATAACTTTTATGCCGGTTAATACGTTTTCCCTTGTGAAATAAATAATAAAGTTTCTATAGTCGTCAAAAACCGAATTACATTCAAGACACTAAAGTTTTCTTTTTTTTCTTTTGGGCAGTTTTGAACCGCACATAAAAAGCCTTCGCTATAAGAGCAGTCAAGCGAAGAACATGCCCGGAAACGTGGGTTTCACATTTCAGCCTCCCGTCGATTTTCGACAAATAAAAGACTAATAGTTTTACTAGAAAATAGAAATACATTTAAATGATTTTGACATAAGACCACACAAACCATTATTTTAAATCCAAAATTTATCGCTTTATTTATCGCCTTCGTTCTTAACTTTTACAATTTGCTGAATGCCGATTTCGCAATTTGCCGAACAGTAACGAAGAAATTTGCCGACTGGGGCCGACTTGTGAAAATTATTGGGGGGGTGGAGCACCCCCCCACACCCCCCCGCTTGCGACGGCCCTGTCTGCAGTCTGCGGTTTGCAGTCTGCAGATTATACTGACCGAATGAGAAACTAAAGATTCAGGTAGCGCTGTTAAAAGAACAAACAAATGGCTGTACTTTAATGTCTTCAATAGAAAATTTATAATTTTTCAATGAAAATGTACATATTTTATAACAGGGTGGCATGGCCTAGGATGCATTTTAAGTGCAATACTGCCCCGTCAGGATAACCGGGAGACTTCCAGTTTACCCCCAATATTTGTATATGAACTGGGCCCCAAGAAGCTGAAGCCCTTACAATCTTTGATAGTGGACCATTCAGTGTTATATTGTTCAGTTGCCCTTTCAGTTGCCCTTTCATAATTTTTTTTTCTTTCTGCCCTCCCCCCATATTATAGTACACAAACAAGGATGGATTGTTATGACCGGCAACCCAACTTTACTGACCTTTAATTACACAGTATTACTTTGCAAATCTTTAAGTTTATATTACATTTTGACGTGCATTATTGCATTATTATAGATCTAATATATGTTGCTTCAGAATATAATATAATTTACCTTGGTCATCGCAAATTGCTTGAACATTGATGGAATGATAGCGCTTCCGATTCACATAAAAATTCTCGTTTAGATGTGGTGCCTGGATTCGAATATGCATGCAATCGATAACACCGGGGAAACGGGCCATCTGGTAAAACCCATTCTTGATTGCCTCTCTCTTGATTGGACTGCCAACAGATAAACTCCTCTTGTTTGTTTGAAAGAGCCACACATACGTCTCGTACTATTCGCGATACGGTGGACTTGTCAACACAAAATGTGTCCCTGATAACCTGTAGAAAGCTACCGCTTGCAAGAAACCTTAGCGCGATGAGGACTTGGATGTTGGGAATTAATGCAAAATTTCGGTCAGTGTCGCGAACAAGGTTGTCGTGTAGTAAATCTGTGATATAATTAATTGCTTGGCTGCCAAATCTGTACTGAATTCACAATTCTGCATCAGTTAGACCTGGAATATTCAAGTTATTGTGAATATCGTTGTTCTCTGCATGGAAAATTCCATATTGGAACAACAAACTCCAACGCATCCGCCATGATATTTTGTACTTAACCCAGAATTAAAAAGTTAACCCACCTAGCTAGGTGGGTTAAAAAGTTTATCAATTTTAACCCAGGATTAAGACTAATCGAGCTTTGTGCAACACAAATTAACCCAAGGTTAGGAGATTTTAACCCAGAATTAGCGCTAATCGCCTTTTGAACAACCAGCCCCTGTAGTTCAACAAATCTATATGTCATCAAGAATGTTTTATTTCCTATACTTGTGTATGGTGGCTGATAGCTACCATTGGATGTTTTGAATGGACCATTTGCATTATACACTAAATTTTGATCTAGACAAAAATTTCATCACAGCTTGAAAGAGCATCACAAAATTAGTAATATTCCAAAGTTTCATTGCAAAATGTTGTAAAATGCGGATAATATAGCCATGCGAAGTTTGCCGTTTTTCAGTCATTTTGTATTACGCACAGGAAATTGACATTGGGGCATCAGCCTTGGGGCATCAATTTCTCATTTGTAATACAAAATGACTGAAAATTGTAAATTTCGCAAGGCTATATTATCCACATTTTGCAACAAAACTTTGGAATATTACTAATTTTGTGATGCTCTTTGAAGCTGTGATGAAATTTTTGTCAATATCAAAATTTAGTCTATAATGCAAATGGTCCTTCAATGGCGGAATTTATTAACTTTATATATTATTTTCTATTTTTTTATTATTTTAAATGTTTTTATATTTATTTTATTTATATATATTTTGTTTTCTATATCTTTTTCTTATGGTATTTGTTCTTTACTTTGAGAAGTAGAAACAAAATAAAAATAAACCAAACAAAATTTTAAAAATGCAACGGCAGTTCCCGGCCATGTGTCTGAGGACTATTATTCATTTGCCTGACAGCAAGTGCCTGGGACAAGTTAAATAACATTTTCCAAAATGGCGTACTACAGATATGACTCTTGGAAGAATCACTTCAGTCTTAAAAGAGATATGGAAAATTATGTAAAGCAAATGCCTCAACGGAAGAAGATGCTTAGTTTCTTAGAAAGAGACTAGTCACAATGTTCATGGAGCATTCGTTCACTGGATCGCCAACTTGGCTATTTTGAAATTTCATGCAATGATGTACAAGCTTAATGCCGATGGACTTGAAGCTTGCGGGTTACAAGCCAAGAGAAAGAAACCAAAAGGCCACTTTATGTCTTCATGACTAAAGGCACCAATTGGGAACACTCTGTGGATGGCCACAATAAGTTGATGGGGGTTTCAAAACAGCACATATCCACTGGCTGTTTACAGATGCATTGACAGAGCAAGCGGGAAATTGTTATGGCTTCGCATGTGGATCTCTAACTCTGACCCTTTGATAGTTGGGCGATGGTACCTTGAGCACCTGTACGAAAAAAGAGTTATTTTTTCCTACATAAGGATGGACAACGGAACAGAGACAGGTGTGTTGCAACATGCACTTGTTCTAAGACACAATCATGGGGACATAGATCCATGTGAAACTGATATATAGCCCTTCAACATGAAAAACCGAGTAAGTATATTACAGTAACTTTATATTTTAACCCTTTTTATTATTATTAATTTTGTGTGTGCCCCATATGGGGTTTCCAACACTCAATTACAAAATTATTACAAATATGTATATATTATGTAAAATTATATGTTTTAATTAGATACCAACTAATATTTCTATACTAAATTATAATAAAAACGATAGTCCAGTTCTGCATTTGATAAAAGGTAAAATTTCCATATGCTAGAATATTAAGATATATGATTATGAAACTGTCGTATTAACTGTTATTTTAGTTTTTTCTTAAATTTATCAAGGTTTGTGATCTGTTTCAGTACACTGTCCAAATCATTCCATACTTTTGCTGCCCTATAATGGAATTTCTCTATCCTGTCATGATTTCGAGTTGGTCTGTTATAAGTGTCTGAGCATTTAACAAACTTATTTGTAAGATAACTGGGTGCCACATTATTGAAACACTTGTATGCCATTATTGTATCTCTACACAAGAGTAGTAATTCTATGAAGCCAGTTGAGTTCTTGTAAACTGGGTGTGATATGATCAAACTTTCTAACTTTTGTAATGATCCGGGCCGGATTGTTTGAAATTTTTTGATGTTCTTAGTCAACATATTTGACCAAATCGTGGAACCGTATGTCAATTTGTTAATCACCAACATCTCAACAATTATGTTTCGCTCGCTACTCTGGTTTAAATAAATGATTACAAAGCCCAGTCAAATTATAATCAAATGATTACAAAGCCCAGTCAAATTATAATCAAGACCCCAGGGGTCAATTCGACTGGGCTTTGTAATCATTTATTTAAACCAGAGTAGCGAGCGAAACATGATTGATATACCTGGTTGCAGTGAACGAACAAACTTTATATCTCAACAATTGATTGCAAAGTTTTAACATCAAAGCTGTCCTTCACTCGGTTTATTTGGCACAATTTTCTTATACATGATGAAGTTAAATTATAAACGTGCTCATTATATGATAAAATTGAGTCAAATGTAGTTGCCAGATCTTTGGCCGACATTACAGGGTTCAAAGTCTGCTTCAAGAAATTTAAAGATATATTTGTAGGTAAATTCTGTAACATGGGCCTCAAACTGATAAGGAGGAATTTAGTTTTGTTTGGGTTAATCAGCAATTGATGTTCAAAACACAATTTGGCTAAACTGCTAAGATCATTTTCCAACTTGACAATTGTTTGTTTTATGTCTTTCATACTCAACATCAGAAAAAATTTTGAGTCGTCAATATTGCTTGATAGTGGGATCACTGGAATGTCATTTGTAGTATTTAAAACACGAGGAGTGTTTTATGAGATATAAAACGTGAGGCGCAGCCGAGCGTTTTATGTCTAATAAAACACTCCTACTCATGTTTTGAATAGCTTAAAATATGACTACAAAAGAATACAAATTATGATGAACATTATATAATCATACTAATTAGGATGAACAATTAATGATTCCTCGTGCTTTATCAGATATATCACTTACGGGAATGTTTAGAGTCTTAGTGAGTGAGCTTTCCTGTTTCCGCTTTGATAGAATCTGTGGTGAAGTTTATCTCTATATTTCATATGTTCAGCTGTTATTTCATGTGAGACAAATGGGTTTGATCGACTTCTAACTCTGAATGTTTTTACTGGTGCATGTAGATCAAAAGTTGAATGAAGAGTATTTTTGAACCTTTCCAATTGTGTGTTAAGGTCTGTACCTGAGAAAATTGACAGAAGATAATCTGATTTAACTGTGAGGCCAGAAGAAAAGTATAAGGGGTCGTAATACTTGTAGCTTCTCGCTGTAATATAATTTTGTGGTATCTTTGGGATATGACATATACTGGAAGGTGCTCGCTAATTACAGAATTTAACACACCACTTTCGAGTACAGACACTGTGTTCGAAATGAGAATTACATCGATAAGTGATTGTGTTGTATCAGTAATTCTTGTCGGTTTTTTAATGATTTGTTGGAGATTTAGGTTTAATTATGTGCATAATTTTATGGCTTATAGCAAAAAGTTCTTGAATACCGTTTTGCTGCATTTTATACCTTTAATATTTATGTTTATTATAATATATGTGCTGTATGTTGAAACTGGCTATCTCTATAGCAAGTGATAAGAACAGGGATGAAGAGAAAATAAAGCAAGTTGCACCAATGACGACTCCAATGATGACTTATTTTTTTAACACCCTGTGAGTGACAATAGATGTGACATGAATGTAAATCTATCAGAACAGGAACTGAATTTTATCAAGTTTGAAGAGTGGCTGGAATGTCCAGATGGAGGAAGAAGATATGAGGATTGTGCCACAGTTGTTCACATCAAGTTCAACTGGTTGTACAGTTTGTCATGCCCCGAGCGTAATTGCATGGGGACGAAGTCTCAACCAGACGGGTATGAAGTATGATTTAATACCAATCGGTGAAAAACTACAAAACGATTTACAATAAACTAAAGTATTTACATATGAACCAGACAATACAACAGGCTGAATAATACAAATTGAGATACAAACAGCGAACACACACACGAAAAGACTTGCGTTTATGCTCCGATTAAGCAAACTGCAGGTTATAACAAGCTAGTGATTCTCCTATTCCCCAAGTAAATATTTCCCCTGTTCTCCAGATGAATGTGAACGAATTATAAAGTTATGATTACTAAGTTTTAGGCGGTTATATACTCGCCGCTTGTTCAGCCATGCGATATGCATGCATAATTATAATGATAATGTCAAGAGTCATCACACTCCTCGCCCAAGAGTAAAACATAAGTTTTGTTCTTGCTACTGTTTATGTACTCATTATATATACTAATTGACTTATCGGTCTAAGATAATATTTCTTTTCTCCGTCTCTCCAGATCACAATTTTAACCTTTCTGACTAAACCGTCATTACTACTTTCCACGGCGTCCACAACTCTTCCGAGAGGCCATTCATTGCGATGTGCTTCTTCTTTCATGGTAACTATGTCTCCTACGGCCAAGTTATGACGACGTTCATTCCATTTCGATCTTCTCTGTTGGTTTTGTAAATATTCGTTCTTCCATCGGCTCCAGAATTGATCTGCCAAATACTGCGCTCGCCTCCAATGTCTGCGAGAATATAGGTCAGGAGAGGTAAAGATTCCTGGTGGTGAAACGAGTGGTTTTGTCTTCATTGTCAGCAACATGTTAGGAGTTAGGGGTTGAGGTTGATCTGCATCGGATGGTATTGTAGAAATAGGACGTGAGTTTACAATTCCCGACACCTCAGCCATGAGTGTTACCAAAAGCTCGTGCGTAAGTTGGCAAGGACCGAGATCAGAAAACATTCCGTTAAGGACTTGCCGAATGGTGGAAATTTGGCGCTCCCAGACTCCGCCAAAGTGGGATGCGTGGGGAGGGTTAAAAACCCACTCACAGTTCTGTTCGACGACATATTTTGCTATTGCTTTATGATCCATCTCTTTCAACGCTTCGTCTAATTCTGACTTTGCCCCGACGAAATTTGTCCCTCGATCACACCTCAATAACGATGGTGGCCCACGAATGGAAAAGAAGCGTCTTAAGGCGCAAATAAAGGAACTTGAGTCCATTGTTTCCAAGACCTCAATGTGGATCGCTCTGCAGTTCAGGCAAGTAAAGACTAAACCCCATCTCTTAGCGTTTGCAGCTCCTCCTCTTAGTCTTCGAGTACGTATCTGCCAAGGGCCAAATACATCAAACCCCACATTTGTGAATGGTGGTGGCGTTTCTAGTCTGTCTGGTGGAAGATTAGCCATATGCTGCGTTATAACGTTCCCTCTGAGTTTTCTACACGTGATACACTGGTTGATAATTTTTGAGATCATTCGTTTGGCTCCGATAATCCATAATCCCCCTTGTCTTAATGCACCATGGGTAATCTGTCTTCCTTGGTGATGCACTTCACTATGGTAATGGGTGATTGCTAGTCTCGCCAAATGACATCCTTTGGGTAATATAGCTGGATGTTTCTCTTGGAACATTTGGTCTGCTTGCCTTAGTCGACCGCCAACTCGAAGGACACCGTCACCGTCGACGAATGGGTCTAGACGATATATACTGGACTTCGGAGAAAGGCTTTTCTGAGACAGTTGGTTTTGCTGAAGGGTTTCGATTTCTTCCGCGTATGCTTCGCTCTGTGCGGTTTTGATCATCACCACTTCGCTCTGTCTTAGTTCTGCAGCAGATGGATTTCTTGGCAGCTTTCGGACTGGTAGTTTGACCAGATGTGTTTGGTGGGCATTCCTTTTGCGGGGTGTTGAAATTTGGTTTTGGCTTTTCAATATCTTTGCTTTGATGATCAGATTGGCAATCGCTCTTCGAAGGGAGTTCCACTTGGAAAATCGATTGAATCTTTCTGAGGTCAGACCTTTGATTACACGCAGTTGGGTAGTGTAGATTGTAGCCTTAACTCGAACTTCTGGATCGTTGTCAGCAATCAAGAAAGGTTCGGGGCTGAGTTCCGTTTGTGCAGGTGGATCAACGTTTCTCAGGAATTCTGGGCCTTTAAACCAAACTGACTCCATCAAATCTTTGGAAGATTTTCCTCTTGTTGCTATATCAGCTGGGTTTTCCTTTGTCTCCACGTATCTCCATTGAGAAGGGTCAGTGATACTTCGGATGATTTGAATTCTGTTGGCTACGTAGACGTAAAAACGACGGCTCTCGTTCTGGATGTAGCCGAGTACTACCTTAGAGTCGGTGTAGAAAATGACTTTGTCTATTCTGAGCTTAAGTTCTCGGGTTATCCACTTGACCGCTTTGCTTGCAAGTACGGCTGCACATAGTTCTAATCTTGGGATCGTTGTCGCTTGTTTGGGAGCTAGCTTTGCTTGAGCGAACACAAGTGAAACTCTACTGACTTCAGCTTGATTGGTTAGCTTCAAATAGACAGCAATACCGATTGCGTAGTGGCTGGCATCGGAAAAGGCATGGATTTCTGCTTTTCTGACCTCGTTTGAGTTCTGTGGAAGATAACATCTAGGAATCATGATATCTTGCAGATCGTATAGACCAACTGTCCACTCGTGCCATTTCTTCCAGAGTGAAGTGGGTAAAGGGTCGTCCCACCCTAATGGTAAACTGTCGTTTCCTTTCTCATTTCCTAGTATTGTCAGCTGCCGTAGTAGGAGTCTTCCCGGTAACGTGACTGGGGTTCCGAAGCCAAGAGGGTCGTATATTGAGTTAATAACTGATAGAACTCCGCGACGGGTGAAGGGTTTTTCTGGTAAGGAAATGGAGAATGTTAACGCATCGTTTTGTAAATTCCACATAACACCCAAGGAACGTTGAGACGGTAGTGGGTCTCGTTGAAGGTCAAGGTTTTGTATGCTGTCAATTCGATCTTCTGGTGGAAGTGCTTGCATTACCTCTACCGCGTTTGATGCAATCTTGTGTAACTTAAGATTTGCCGTTGCTAACATTGTTTGGGTATTCTTGACGAGATCTATAGCTTCGTCGGGGTTAGAACAAGATGTCAGGCCGTCATCGACGTAAAAGTCGTTGCATACAAAGTCGTTTGCAGCGTGCCCAAACTCCTCCTCGCCGTCATCGGCCGTCTTCCGCAGGCCAAATGTTGCAACTGCTGGGCTAGACGTATTACCAAACAGATGTACAGTCATTTGATACTCGATAATGTTCTTCGTCTTGTCGTTGTTCTCGAACCACAAAAAGCGTAACAGATTTTGATGTTCAGGATTTACGTAGAAATTATGGAACATTTGCTCTATGTCACATGCGACAGCTACGTTGTTTCTCCTAAAACGAAGGAGTATCCCCAACAAGGAATTCAGCGTATCAGGACCGGACAGCAGTTCTTTATTAAGCGAGACTCCATGAAATTCTGCAGATGAGTCAAATACAACGCGAATTTTGTCGGGTTTTCGTGGATGGTAAACGCCGAAGTGTGGTAGATACCAAACGTTTCCTGGCTCATGAGTTGTCTTCGTTACTTTGTTGAGCGGAACTGGTATGGCGTGTCCCCGTTTTAGTAGTTTCTGCATGAATTGAAAGTAGTCCTTTTCCATTTGAGGTTTGCGTTTGAACGAGAGCAACAGATTATTCATACGACTTGCGGCTTGACCTCGATTGTTTGGGAAAGTGACATTGGTCTTTCGAAGGGGAAGTGGCATCTCCCAATTGTTTTTATGGATACCTGTTTCCATTATTTCTATGAAGCGCCGATCTTCTACGGACATACTCTGCTCGTTATCATGACTCGTTGTGCGAAAGACGTCATCCCGGTTGTCCTCCAATTTTTCGCGAGGTTCTTTTATCTCGAACATGTTTGGGCATGGAATGTATTCATGATGCAGGATCTCGTGGGAGGAATTGGCCAATGGTTTTACTTTGGGTTCCACGTGGATATTGTCTATTTCTGGATAGGACGACTTTTGACACACGGTACGATGCGTTCGCACATGGACAGGCCCACCTTCACGTCTTAGACACAGTTCTCCACAGACAGTCCATCCAATAGCCAATTTGTGCGCCCAAGGTGTTCCTATCGGTCCGTTACGAACTTCTCTGACTTTCATCAGTTCAGGAGCGTCCCGGCCAATGAGTAAGGCAACCTCGGCTTTCCGGTCCAACGGCGGGATTTCTTTGGCAATATCTCGCAGATGATGGAATTTCTTAACTAACTCTGGTGTTGGTATTTCCCGTTTGTCTGTAGGAATATTCTCGCATTCTACCAAGGTCGGCAATGGCATTGAAATTCCATTCGTTGACTTTACCACCAATCCAGGCACGCGTCGGCCATATCTAATTTCTTTTGATCCACCGCACGTAGATAAGAAGTACTTCTCCTTGGGTCCAACTATTCTAAGCTCATCTGCTAACTTCGGACATATCATGGAGGAATTGCTTTGCTCGTCAATCAAGGCATATACTTTAATAACGCGATCGGGTTCATCTTGTTGGAAAACTTCGAGTAACACAATCTTGCTACAGGAGACTCCAGATATTGGTTGGCATTTGACGTTGGTACGGGCTGATGTTATATCTTCTTCCGTGTTGTCTTTCTTCTTTAACTTCTCCATGTGAAGTATATCCAAGTGACGCTTGCTTCCACATTTGTTACACTTAATGCTGGCTTTACATTCCCTAGCTAGATGATTTGATTGCAGGCATCGAAAGCAACGTCCAGCTTGTCTCAACCAGTCCGTCTTCTCTTGCAAAGACTTACGTTCGAAAGCTCTGCATTCTGATAGATTATGTCCTTGTCTGTCATGGAAGGCGCAATGTTTAGTAACATCTTCCTGTTCTTCCGTTTCGATTTCTCCCTTCAAGATGGTATGGTGGTCTTCGAATTTCGGTTTCTCTTTCCACTTTCCAGGCATATCTGTGGCTGTGACGTTAGGATAATTCCGTAAGCAAGATTGGCTTTTCATCATGTTGGCGAAAGCATGGAAATCAGGATAAGTGTCAGCGTTTTTTTCAGCAAACTCCACAACTCTTTTCTCCCATTTGGAAGGAATAGATGTTGGCAAACTAGTTAAAATTGGTCGGATGGTGTGTGGATAGTTCAGACAGGCAAGTCCAGGAAGTTGCTTAATCTGGGAAGACACATCGATACACAGATCTGAAAACGCCTGCAGACTTTTCTTATCCCTGTCAGTGAATTTTGCAGCCTCTTTCAATCGCGTCAGTAGTGTATTGGTTATGATCGCTACGTTGCCAAAACGATTTTCTAGCTCCACCCAGAGTTCTTTCAACAACTTGTTCGAGTCGCCATATTGTCTTTTGCGAAAACTGTTCACCAATTTCTGTGGTGCTCCCCTAGTGTACATGTGCAAATAGTTCATCTCTTGTTCTGCGGTTATCTCAGAGTCGCTAATCATACCCTTGAAAGAGCTTTTCCACGGATGAAACATAGTCGCATCGCCGAAGAATATGTCGGGGTGACATTTAGGAAGACTTATTCTTGCTAAACTGGCGGTCAATTTATCGTTGGTTGCTGCGACGGCCCCCAAACATTCGTTTACCACTGTAGCTGGGTCGTGTTCCACGGTTGTATACGGTGGGTAAGGTTGAACAGGGTTCTGTTGTGGATGATGGGGATGATGGGTGTACTCGAGGGTATGCTGTGGATAGTGGGTGTACTCGAGGGTATGTTGTGGATAGTGGGTACCGATGGGGATTTCTGGGTACCGATGGGGACCGATGGGGATTTCTGGGTACCGATGGGAACCGATGAGGATTTGTTGTGGTAACTGCTCTGAACCAGGATCAGTCGCAATTGGATCCGTCTGACGAGGCTGATCATCAAATCGAACGCCGAGCTTTCTACTACCGGTGACATTGGTTAGATTAGTGTCTGGAGCCACGTTTTGTTTCTGGTCTTGCACCCATGTTTTGGTACGTTGTCTTGAAGTGGCACTTGTGTCTTCGTCAAGTTTGCTTGGAGAGGATATTTCGTTTAATATAGTTCGTTCGATGGCATTTAGTTTTGCTTCTGCCACGGCTGTAAGTTTTCTAGCGGCTAGGACTGCCATATCGTGGTCGTGCTGTGCTTTCGTGGCTGCTCTCTCTCTTTCGTCGTGTGCATCCTTTTGTTTTCTCGCGTTTTCTTTCTCAGCCATTAATAAATCATATTCGGCTTGACGTCTTGCTGCCGCTGCATCTGCCAGGGCTTGTATCCGGGCAGAAGTTGACGATGCGCGAGATCGCATAGATCTACCAGAGTGCCCCGAAGCTGAACGTCCAGATCTCTTCGAAGACGTTTCTTTAGTCTCGCTACTAAGCTTTTTAGCCGCCTCCAATAATGTGGCTTCTGCTTGTTGAATATGTGTGTAACTTGTTCGCTCTACAACGGGCTCCACGTCAACAGTTTCTTTCCATTTATCTTGTTCGAACAGACGTTTAAGATTCCCGAGACTGATTTCAAATGTTTGTTTACTTTTCTCCAAAAGGGCTGTTGCGCTCTTCAACTTTGATGTTTCCGACTCACTCAATGCCGCGTGAACAGAGAGGATTGCCTTTTGTAATGCCTTTGTTTCTTTATTGAAGTCCGATGTCTTCTGTAACAGTGTGTTTTGAAACCCTTTCTGGGTTGGGATTCGTTGACGTTTAACAGCAGGTTCGACTGTAGCGGTTTCGGTGGCATTATCATCCGAGATTTCCGACATTTTATTGCTTATATGTCTTGTTGTTCACTAGTGCATAACTCGTAGACAGTTGTCCGGGCGTTTCGAAATTAAATACCAAACTTTTTCACTGTCGTGCCCCGAGCGTAAGTGAATACGAAGTCTCAACCAGACGGGTATGAAGTATGATTTAATACCAATCGGTAAAAAACTACAAAACGATTTACAATAAACTAAAGCATTTACATATAAACCAGACAATACAACAGGCTGAATAATACAAATTGAGATACAAACAGTGAACACACACACGAACAGACTTATGTTTATGCTCCGATTAAGCCAACTGCACGTTATAACAAGCTAGTGCTTCTCCTATTCCCCAAGTAAATATTTCCCCTGTTCTCCAGATGAATGTGAACGAATTACAAAGTTATGATTACTAAGTTTTACGCGGTTATATACTCGCCGCTTGTTCAGCCATGCGATATGCATGCATAATTATAATGATAATGTCAAGAGTCATCACAACAAGGTTACTCACGCTGAGGGCAAGGTACCTCACACTGAGGACAAGGTTCCTCACGCTGAGAACATGGTACCTCACATTGAGGACAAGGTGCCTCATTCTGAGGACAAGTTTCCTCACGCTGTGGACAAGATTCCTCACGCTGAGGGCAAGGTTCCTCATTGTGAGGACAAGGTATCTCACGTTGAGGGTAAGGTTCCTCAAGCTGAGGACAAGGTACCTCACCCTTAGGCCAAGGTACCTCACGCTGAGGACAAGGTCCTCACGCTGAGGACAAGGTTCGTCACGCTGAGGACAAGGTTCCTCACGCTGAGGGCAAGGGGCCTCACACTGAGGGCAAGGTACCTCACACTGAGGACAAGGTTCCTCACGCTGAGAACATGGTACCTCATATTGAGGACAAGGTACCTCATTCTGAGGACAAGGTTCCTCACGCTGTGGACAAGTTTCCTCATGCTGAGGGCAAGGTTCCTCATTGTGAGGACAAGGTATCTCACGTTGAGGATAAGGTTCCTCAAGCTGAGGACAAGGTACCTCACACTGAGGACAAGGTACCTCACGCTGAGCACAAGGTCCTCACGCTGAGGACAAGGTTCCTCACGCTGAGGACAAGATTCCTCACGCTGAGGGCAAGGGGCCTCACACTAAGGACAGGATTCTCACACTGAGGACAAGGTTCCTCACGCTGAGGACAAGGTTCCTCAAGCTGAGGACAAGGTACCTCACGCTGAAGACAAGGTTCCTCACGCTGAGGAGAAGGTCTTTCAAGCTCAGGACAAGGTACCTCACACTGAGGAAAAGGTACCTTACACTGAGGAGAAGGTACCTCACACTGAGTACAAGGTAGCTCACACTGAGGACAAGGTACCTCGCACTGAGGACAAGGTTCTTCACGCAGAGGACAAGGTTCCTCACGATGAGGACAACTTTTCTCACGCTGTGGACAAGGTACCTCACACTGAGGACAAGGTTCCTCAAATTGATGACAAGGTACCTCACACTGAGGACAAGGTCCTTCCTGATGAGGACAAGGTTCCTCACGCTGTGGAAAAGTTTCCTCACGTTGAGGACAAGGTTCCTCACGCTGAGCACAGGGTTCCTCAAGCTGAGGACAAGCTACTTCACATTGAGGACAAGGTACCTCACACTGAGGACAAGGTACCTCAGACTGAGGACAAGGTTCCTCACGCTGAGGACAAGGTTCCTCACGCTGAGGAAAAGGTACCTCAAACTGAGGACAAGGTTCTTCAAACCGAGGACAAGGTATCTCACACTGAGGACAAGGATCCTCACGCTGAGGACAATGTTCCTAACGCTGAGGAAAAATTACCTCACATTGAGGACAAGGTCCCTCAAGCAGAGGACAAGGTTCCTCGCACTGAGGACAATGTTCCTCACACTGAAGACAAGGTTCCTCACACTGAGGACAAGGTTCCTCACGCTGAGGACAAGGTTCCTCACTCTGAGGACAAGGTTACTCACGATGAGGGCAAGGTACCTCACACTGAGGACAAGGTTCCTCACGCTTTGAACAAGGTACCTCACATTGAGGACAAGGTACCTCATTCTGAGGACAAGGTTCCTCACGCTGTGGACAAGTTTCCTCACGCTGAGGGCAAGGTTCCTCATTGTGAGGACAAGTTACCTCACGCTAAGGACAAGGTTCCTCTGGCTGAGGACAAGATACCTCACGCTGAGGACAAGGTACCTCACGCTAAGGACAAGGTTCCTCTGGCTGAGGACAAGATACCTTACGCTGAGGACAAGGTTCCTCACGCTGAGGACAAGGTTCATCACGCTGAGGACAAGGTTCCTCACTCTGAGTACAAGGTTCCTCAAGCTGAGGACAAGATACCTCACACTCAGGACAAGGTACTTCACACTCACGACAAGGTTCTTGACGCTGAGTGAAGGTTCCTCACACTGACGACAAGGTTCCTCACGCTGAGGACAACGTCCTTATGCTGAGAACAAGGTTCCTCATGCTGAGAACAAGTTTCCTCACGCTGAGCACAAGTTACCTCACGCTGAGGACAAGGTACCTCACACTGAGGACAAGTTACCTCACGCTAAGGACAAGGTTCCTCTGGCTGAGGACAAGATACCTCACGCTGAGGACAAGGTACCTCACGCTAAGGACAAGGTTCCTCTGGCTGAGGACAAGATACCTTACGCTGAGGACAAGGTACCTCACACTAAGGACAAGGTTCCTCTCGCTGAAGACAAGGTACCTCACGTTGAGGACAAGGTTCCTCACGCTGAGGACAAGGTTCGTCACGCTGAGGACAAGGTTACTCATGCTGAGGACAAGGTACCTCACACTGAGGACAAGGTACCTCACACTGAGGACAAGGTACCTCACACTGAGGGCAAGGTACATCACACTGAGGACAAGATACCTCACACAGAGGACAAGGTTCCTCACGCTGAGGACAATGTTCCTCATTGTGGCGACAAGGTAACTCACACTGAGGAGGTTCCTCAAGCGGTGGACAAGGTACCTCACTCTGACGACAAGGTACCTCACACTTGGGACAAGGTTCCTGACGCTGAGGACAAGATTCCCAAAGCGGAGGACAAGGTACCTCAATCTGAGGACAAGGTACCTTACACTAAGGACAAAGTTCCTCTCGCTGAGGAGAAGGTTCCAAACGCTGAAGACAAGGTTCCTTACGCTGAGAACAAGGTTCCTCACGCTGAGGACAATGTTACTCACCCTGAGGACAAGGTACCTCACACTGAGGACAAGGATTCTCAAGATGAGGACAAGGTACCTCATCCTGAGGACAAGGTACCTCACACTGAGGGCAAGGTACCTCACCCTGAGGACAAGGTACCTCACACTGAGGACTAGGTTTCTCACGCTGAGGACAATGATCCTCATTGTGGGACAAGGTACCTCACACTGAGAACAAGGTACCTCAAGCTAAGGCCAAGGTACCTCACAATGAGGACAAGGTACCTCACACTGAGGACAAGGTTCCTGACGCTGAGGACAAGGTTACTCACGCTGAGGACAAGGTTCTTCACGCTGACGACAAAGTTCCTCAAGCTGAGGACAAGGTACCTCACACTGAGGACAAGGTACCTCGCACTGAGGACAAAGTTCCTCACGGTGAGGACAAGGTTCCTCACGATGAGGACAAGGTGCCTCACGTTGAAGACAAGGTTGCTCAGGCTGTGGACAAGGTTCCTCACGTTGAGGCCAACGTACCTCACACTGAGGACAAAGTAGGTCACACTAAGGACAAGGTTCCTCTCGCTGAGGACAAGGTTCCTCACGCTGAGGACAAGGTTGCTCCCGCTGAGGACAAGGTCCCTCACGCAGAGGACAGGGTTCCTCATGGTAAGGACAAGGTACCTCACACTGAGGACAAGGTTCCTCAAGCTGAGGACAAGGTACCTTACACTGAAAACAAGGTACATCACACTGACGACAAGGCTCCTCACGCTTAGAACACGGTTCCTCACGCGGAGGACAAGGTTGCTCACGCTGACAACAAGGTTTCTGACGTCGAGGACAAGGTACTTCACACTGAGGACAAAGTACGTCGCACTCAGGACAAGGTACCTCACAATGAGTGCAAGATACCTCACACTGAGGACAAGGTTCCTCACGCTGACGACAAGGATGCTCAGGCTGAGGACAAGGTTCCTCACGTTGAGGACAAGGTTGCTCACGCTGAGGACAAGGTTCCTCACGTTGAGGACAAGGTACCTCACACTGAGGACAAGGTACCTCACACTGAGGACAAAGTACCTCACACTGAGGACAAGGTACCTCACACTGAGGACAAGATACCTCACACTGAGGACAAGGTTCCTCACGCTGAGGACAAGGTTCCTCACGCTGAGGACAAGGTTCCTCACGCTGAGGACAAGATTCCTCACGCTGAGGACAAGGTTCCTCAAGCTGAGGACAAGGTAACTCACACTGAGGACAAGGTACCTCGCACTGAGGACAAAGTTCCTCACGATGAGGACAAGGTTCCTCACTAGGAGGACAAGGTGCCTCACGTTGAGGACAAGGTTCCTCACGCTGAGGACAAGGTTACTCACGCTGAGGACAAGGTACCTCACACTGAGGACAAGGTTCCCCACGCTGAGGAGAAGGTTCCTCAGCTGAGGACAAGGTACCTGACACTGAGGACAAGATGCCTCACACTGAGGACAAGGTACCTCACACTGAGAACAAGGTTCCTCATTGTGAGGACAAGGAACTTCACGCTAAGGAGAAGGTTCCTCAAGTTGAGGACAACGTACCTCACACTGAGGACAAAGTAGCTCACACTAAGGACAAGGTTCCTCTCGCTGAGGACAAGGTTCCTCACGCTGAGGACAAGGTTCCTCACGCTGAGGACAAGGTCCCTCACGCTGAGGACAGGGTTCCTCATGGTAAGGACAAGGTACCTCACACTGAGGACAAGGTTCCTCATGCTGAGGACAAGGTACCTCACACTGAGAACAAGGTACATCACACTGAGGACAAGTTTCCTCACGCTGAGAACACGGTTCGTCCCGCGGAGGACAAGGTTGCTCACTCTGACGATAAGGTTCCTCACATTGAGGACAAGGTACCTCACACTGAGGACAAAGTACCTCGCACTGAGGACAAGGTACCTCACACTGAGGACAAGATACCTCACACTGAGGACAAGGTTCCTCACGCTGAGGACAAGGTTGCTCACGCTGAGGACAAGGTTCCTCACGTTGAGGACAAAGTTGCTCACGCTGAGGACAAGGTTCCTCACGTTGAGGACAAGGTACCTCACACTGAGGACAAGGTACCTCACACTGAGGACAAAGTACCTCACATTGAGGACAAGGTACCTTACACTGAGGACAAGATGCGTCACACTGAGGACAAGGTTCCTCACGCTGAGGACAAGGTTCCTCAAGCTGAGGACAAGGTTCCCCCTCTTGAGGACAGCGTACTTCACACTTCATGATGAAAATTACCACTCTAACTATTACTCTAATATAAATTTTAAGTTTTCTGAAATTAGTATGGATGATATTATTTGTCAATTACGTATTAGTCTACCGGTATTGATAACATCCCTGCTATAACTCTTAAGTTGTCTGCGGAAGTTATTGATCCTTCATTAACATGGATTTATAATCTTTCAATCAAAACTGGGATATATGTTGGTGAATGGAAAAAGGCGTGGGTAATGCAAATTTTTAAATCATATTATAGACAAAGATGTGAAAATTACCGACCGATATCTATATTGCCTATTGTCAGTAAAATACTAGAGAGTTCGGTTTTCAACCAGATTTATAAGTTTTTGAATGATAATTCGCTGCTATCTAAACATCAATCTGGCTTTCGGCCTAAGCATTCAACTTTAACAACACTCATTCAAATGTGTGACACACTTTATGAGAACATGGATAATGGTCAGTTGAGTGGTTTTGTTTTCCTTGATATTAGAAAAGCTTTTGATTCTATTGATCATACAATCTTATTGCAAAAGATGAATGGTCAATTTGGAATAAAAAATGTGGAACTGGATTGGTTTAAGTCCTATCTAACTAATAGAGAGCAAGCATGCATTGTCAACGGTGCAATGTCATCACCTAAAACGATTGTGTGCGGAGTTCCGCAGGGATCAATTCTTGGTCCCTTGCTGTCTTTATTATATATTAATGATTTACCCGAATGCCTCAAAAAACTTCGCCACACCTATACGCTGATGATACTCAAATTTCAACTTCTGCCAAAACTATTGAGGAACTTACTGAAAATCTAAATAATGACCTGAAAAAAGTCGGTGAGTGGCTTGCTCGAAATAAACTGCAACACCACCCAACTAAGACCAAATTAATGTATATCGGATACAAATTAATGTATACCGGTATTAAGTATAATACTGATACTATGACTTATGATATTCCAGTAATGATGAATAACGAATTCATAACTCTTGCTCATTCATACACATGCCTTGGGGTTAAACTTGATGAAAACCTTAATTGGGATGAGCATGTTGAAATGATTTGTAAGAAAGTTGGGGCCGGCATAGGAGCAATGCAACGAATTAAGCCATATGTTCCTATAAATACCCTGCATACCATTTACAGAGCTCTGATAGAACCGTATTTTGATTATTGTAGTCCATTATGGGACGTCTGTAACCAACAGCTGAAAGATAAGCTTCAAAAGTTCCAAAACCGTGCAGCGAGAATTATAACCGGCGCCAGCTATGAAATAAGGTCTGCTGATGTTCTTCGATCCCTTGCTTGGGAAAATTTAGAGATAAGACAACGTACAACTAAATCCACATTAATGTATAAAGTCCTGAATGATTGCGCTGGGCCGAACTTGAAGGATGCTCTAACGAGAAGGGACCTTGTTCAAACCAGTTATAATCTTCGCAATACTTATACTGACCTTACTCTTGCTAAGCCAAAACGAGAATTTCTAAAAAAAAGCTTTAAGTATAGCGGAGCTAAATTGTGGAATAGTTTTCCTTCTGATGCGAAGCTAGCGCAATCAATTTATTCTTTTAAAAACTGCCTGAAAGATTCACGCCAACATCTTCTAATATACTGTATATGCATGCTTTAGAAGTATGGATCACACCGTTTGGAACCTAATTCTTGTATTGTAAATAGTTGTATACAATTCTTTATTCTTTTCTATATCATATTTGTAATTTTTAATAGTAACAGACGTCCCTCGTGAAAATCAACAAATTGTTGACGAGGCTAACGTCTTTAAATAAAGTTTACATACATACATACATACATACATACCGAGGACAAGGTACCTCACACTGAGGACGAGGTAATTCACACTGAGGATAAAGTTCCTCATGCTGGGGACAATGTTCCTCATTGTGAGGACAAGGTACCTCACACTGAGGACAAGGTACCTCGCACTGAGATCAAGGTACTTCGCACTCAGGACAAGGTTCTTCAAGCTGAGGAGAATGTTCCTCACGCTGAGCACAAGGTTCCTCACGCTGAGGACAAGGTACCTCAAACAGAGGACAAGTTACCTCACTCTGAGGACAAGGTTCCTCAAGCTGAGGACAAGATACCTCACACTGAGGACAAGGTACTTCAACTCAGGACAAGGTTCTTCACGCTGAGTGAAGGTTCCTCACACTGAGGACAAGGTTCCTCACGCTGAGGACAACGTCCTTATGCTGAGAACAAGGTTTCTCACGCTGAGAACAGGTTTCCTCACGCTGAATACAAGTTACCTCACGCTGAGGACAAGCTACCTCACACTGAGGACAAGGTTCCTCACGCTGAGGACAAGGTTCATCACGCTGAGGACAAGGTTCCTCACTCTGAGTACAAGGTTCCTCAAGCTGAGGAAAAGATACCTCACACTCAGGACAAGGTACTTCACACTCACGGCAAGGTTCTTGACGCTGAGTGAAGGTTCCTCACACAGAGGACAAGGTTCCTCACGCTGAGGACAACGTCCTAATGCTGAGAACAAGGTTCCTCACGCTGAGAACAAGTTTCCTCACGCTGAGGACAAGTTACCTCACGCTGAGGACAAGGTACCTCACACTGAGGACAAGGTTCCTCACGCTGAGGACAAGGTTTCTCACGCTGAGGATAAGGTTCCTCACGCTGAGGACAAAGTACCTCACTCTGAGGACAAGGTTCCTCAAGCTGAGGACAAGATACCTCACACTGAGGACAAGGTTCTTCACACTCAGGACAAGGTTCTTCACGCTGAGTGAAGGTTCCTCACACTGAGGACAAGGTTCCTCACGCTGAGGACAACGTCCTGATGCTGAGATCAAGGTTTCTCACGCTGAGAACAGGTTTCCTCACGCTGAATACAAGTTACCTCACGCTGAGGACAAGCTACCTCACACTGAGGACAAGGTTCCTCACGCTGAGGACAAGGTTCATCACGCTGAGGACAAGGTTCCTCACTCTGAGTACAAGGTTCCTCAAGCTGAGGACAAGATACCTCACACTCAGGACAAGGTACTTCACACTCACGACAAGGTTCTTGACGCTGAGTGAAGGTTCCTCACACTGACGACAAGGTTCCTCACGCTGAGGACAACGTCCTTATGCTGAGAACAAGGTTCCTCATGCTGAGAACAAGTTTCCTCAAGCTGAGCACAAGTTCCCTCACGCTGAGGACAAGGTACCTCACACTGAGGACAAGTTACCTCACGCTAAGGACAAGGTTCCTCTGGCTGAGGACAAGATACCTCACGCTGAGGACAAGGTACCTCACGCTAAGGACAAGGTTCCTCTGGCTGAGGACAAGATACCTTACGCTGAGGACAAGGTACCTCACACTAAGGACAAGGTTCCTCTCGCTGAAGACAAGGTACCTCACGTTGAGGACAAGGTTCCTCACGCTGAGGACAAGGTTCGTCACGCTGAGGACAAGGTTACTCATGCTGAGGACAAGGTACCTCACACTGAGGACAAGGTACCTCACACTGAGGACAAGGTACCTCACACTGAGGGCAAGGTACATCACACTGAGGACAAGATACCTCACACAGAGGACAAGGTTCCTCACGCTGAGGACAATGTTCCTCATTGTGGCGACAAGGTAACTCACACTGAGGAGGTTCCTCAAGCGGTGGACAAGGTACCTCACTCTGACGACAAGGTACCTCACACTTGGGACAAGGTTCCTGACGCTGAGGACAAGATTCCCAAAGCGGAGGACAAGGTACCTCAATCTGAGGACAAGGTACCTTACACTAAGGACAAAGTTCCTCTCGCTGAGGAGAAGGTTCCAAACGCTGAAGACAAGGTTCCTTACGCTGAGAACAAGGTTCCTCACGCTGAGGACAATGTTACTCACCCTGAGGACAAGGTACCTCACACTGAGGACAAGGATTCTCAAGATGAGGACAAGGTACCTCATCCTGAGGACAAGGTACCTCACACTGAGGGCAAGGTACCTCACCCTGAGGACAAGGTACCTCACACTGAGGACTAGGTTTCTCACGCTGAGGACAATGATCCTCATTGTGGGACAAGGTACCTCACACTGAGAACAAGGTACCTCAAGCTAAGGGCAAGGTACCTCACAATGAGGACAAGGTACCTCACACTGAGGACAAGGTTCCTGACGCTGAGGACAAGGTTACTCACGCTGAGGACAAGGTTCTTCACGCTGACGACAAAGTTCCTCAAGCTGAGGACAAGGTACCTCACACTGAGGACAAGGTACCTCGCACTGAGGACAAAGTTCCTCACGGTGAGGACAAGGTTCCTCACGATGAGGACAAGGTGCCTCACGTTGAAGACAAGGTTGCTCAGGCTGTGGACAAGGTTCCTCACGTTGAGGCCAACGTACCTCACACTGAGGACAAAGTAGGTCACACTAAGGACAAGGTTCCTCTCGCTGAGGACAAGGTTCCTCACGCTGAGGACAAGGTTGCTCCCGCTGAGGACAAGGTCCCTCACGCAGAGGACAGGGTTCCTCATGGTAAGGACAAGGTACCTCACACTGAGGACAAGGTTCCTCAAGCTGAGGACAAGGTACCTTACACTGAGAACAAGGTACATCACACTGACGACAAGGCTCCTCACGCTTAGAACACGGTTCCTCACGCGGAGGACAAGGTTGCTCACGCTGACGACAAGGTTCCTGACGTCGAGGACAAGGTACTTCACACTGAGGACAAAGTACGTCGCACTCAGGACAAGGTACCTCACACTGAGTGCAAGATACCTCACACTGAGGACAAGGTTCCTCACGCTGACGACAAGGTTGCTCAGGCTGAGGACAAGGTTCCTCACGTTGAGGACAAGGTTGCTCACGCTGAGGACAAGGTTCCTCACGTTGAGGACAAGGTACCTCACACTGAGGACAAGGTACCTCACACTGAGGACAAAGTACCTCACACTGAGGACAAGGTACCTCACACTGAGGAAAAGATACCTCACACTGAGGACAAGGTTCCTCACGCTGAGGACAAGGTTCCTCACGCTGAGGACAAGATTCGTCACGCTGAGGACAAGGTTCCTCAAGCTGAGGACAAGGTACCTCACACTGAGGACAAGGTACCTCGCACTGAGGACAAAGTTCCTCACGATGAGGACAAGGTTCCTCACTAGGAGGACAAGGTGCCTCACGTTGAGAACAAGGTTCCTCACGCTGAGGACAAGGTTACTCACGCTGAGGACAAGGTACCTCACACTGAGGACAAGGTACCTCGCACAGAGGACAAAGTTCCTCACGATGAGGACAAGGTTCCCGCGGTGAGGACAAGGTTCTTGGCGGTGACGACAAGGTTCCTGGCGGTCAGGACAAGGTTCGTGGGAGTGGGGACATGGTTCCTCGCGGTAACGACATTGTTCCTGGCAGTGAGGACAAGGCTCCTGGCGGTGAGGACAAGGTTCCTGGCGGTGACCACAAGTTACCTGACGGTGAGAACAAGGTTCCTGGCGGTGAGGACAAGGTTCCTTGCGGTGAGCACAATGTTCCTCGCAGTGAGGACACGGTTCCTGGCGGTGAGGTCAAGGTTCCTGGCGGTGACGCCAAGATTCCTGGCGGTGAGGACAAGGTTGCTGGCGGTGACGACATTCTTCCTGGCGGTGAGGACAGGGTTTCTGGCGGTGAGGACAAGGTTCCTGGCAGTCAGGAATAGGTTCCTGGCGGTGAGGACAAGGTTCTTGGCAGTGAGGACAAGATTCTAGGCGGTGAGGACAAGATTTCTGGCGGTGAGGAAAAGGTTCCTGGCGGTGAGGACAAGGGTTTTGGTGGTGAGGACAAGGTCCCTGGCGGTGACGACAAGATTCCTGCCTGTGACGACATGGGTCCTGTCGGTGAGGTCAAGATTCCTGGCGGTGAGCACAAGGTTCCTGGCGGAGAGCACAAGGTTCCTGGCGGTAAGCTCAAGATCCCAGGCGGTGAAAAGAAGGTTTCTGGCGGTGAGGACAAGCGTTCTGGCGGTGAGGACAAGTTTCCTGGCGGTGTCGACAAGGTTCCTGGCGGTGAAGACAAGGTTCCTTGCAGTGACGACAAGTTTCCATGGAGTTACGAGAAGGATCCTGGAGGTGAGCACAAGGTTGCCGGCGGTCAGGACAAGGATCCTGGTGGTGAGGACAAGGTTCCTGGCAGTGAGGACAAGGTTGCAGGCGGTGAGGACAATGTTCCTGGCAGTGAGGACAAGGTTGCAGGCGGTGCGGACAAGATTCCTGGCGGTGAGGACAAGGTTCCTGGCTGTGAAGACAAGGGTTCTGGCGGTGTCGACAAGGTTCCTGGCAGTGGCGACAAGGTTGCTGGCGGTGACGACAAGGTTCCTGGCAGTGGCGACAAGGTTCCTGGCAGTGAGAACAAGGTTCCTGGCGGTGACGGCCAGGTTCCTGCCAGTGACGACATGGGTCCTGTCGGAGAGGTGAAGTTTGTTGGCGGTGAGGACAAGGTTCCTTGCGGTGAGGACAAGTTTCCAGGCGGTAAGATCAAGATTCCTGGCGGTGAGGACAAGGTTCCTGGCGGTGAGGACTAGCGTTCTGGTGGTGAGGACGAGTTTGCTGGCGGTAAAGACAAGGTTCCTGGCGGTGAGGATAAGGTTACTCGCGGTGAGGACAAGCTTCCTTCCAGTGACGACAAGGTTCCTGACGGTGAGCACAAGGTTCGTGGTGGTCAGAACAAGGATCCTGGTGGTGACGACAAGGTTCCTGGCAGTGAGGACAAGGTTCCAGGCGGTAAGGACAAGATTCCTGGCGGTGAGGACAAGGTTCCTGGCGGTGAGGACAAGGGTTCTGGAGGTGAGGACAAGGTTCCTGGCGGTGACGACAAGGTTCCTGGCGATCAGGACAAGGATCCTGGCGGTGAGGACACGGTTATTGGCAGTGAGCACAAGGTTCCAGGCGGTAAGGACAAGATTCCTGGCGGTGAGGACAAGACTCCTGGCGGTGAGGACAAGGTTCCTGGCAGTGAGGACAAGGGTTCTGGCGGTGAGGACAAGGTTCCTGTCGGTGACGACAAAGTTCCTGCCAGTGACGACATGGGCCCTGTCGGTGAGGACAAGGTTCCAGGCTGTGAGGACAACGTTCCTGGCGGTGAGGACAAAGTTCCTGGCGGTGACGACATGGCTCCAGGCGGTGAGGACAAGGTTCTTGGCGGTGACGACAAGGTTCCTGGCTGTCAGGACAAGGTTCGTGGGAGTGGGGACATGGTTCCTCGCGGTAACGACATTGTTCCTGGCAGTGAGGACAAGGCTCCTGGCGGTGAGGACAAGGTTCCTGGCGGTGACCACAAGTTACCTGACGGTGAGAACAAGGTTCCTGGCGGTGAGGACAAGGTTCCTTGCGGTGAGCACAATGTTCCTCGCAGTGAGGACACGGTTCCTGGCGGTGAGGTCAAGGTTCCTGGCGGTGACGCCAAGATTCCTGGCGGTGAGGACAAGGTTGCTGGCGGTGACGACATTCTTCCTGGCGGTGAGGACAGGGTTTCTGGCGGTGAGGACAAGGTTCCTGGCAGTCAGGAATAGGTTCCTGGCGGTGAGGACAAGGTTCTTGGCAGTGAGGACAAGATTCTAGGCGGTGAGGACAAGATTTCTGGCGGTGAGAAAAAGGTTCCTGGCGGTGAGGACAAGGGTTTTGGTGGTGAGGACAAGGTTCCTGGCGGTGACGACAAGATTCCTGCCTGTGACGACATGGGTCCTGTCGGTGAGGTCAAAATTCCTGGCGGTGAGGACAAGGTTCCTGGCGGAGAGCACAAGGTTCCTGGCGGTAAGGTCAAGATCCCAGGCGGTGAAAAGAAGGTTTCTGGCGGTGAGGACAAGCGTCCTGGCGGTGAGGACAAGTTTCCTGGCGGTGTCGACAAGGTTCCTAGCGGTGAAGACAAGGTTCCTTGCAGTGACGACAAGTTTCCATGGAGTTACGACAAGGATCCTGGAGGTGAGCACAAAGTTGCCGGCGGTCAGGACAAGGATCCTGGTGGTGAGGACAAGGTTCCTGGCGGTGACCACAAGTTACCTGACGGTGAGAACAAGGTTCCTGGCGGTGAGGACAAGGTTCCTTGCGGTGAGCACAATGTTCCTCGCAGTGAGGACACGGTTCCTGGCGGTGAGGTCAAGGTTCCTGTCGGTGACGCCAACATTCCTGGCGGTGAGGACAAGGTTGCTGGCGGTGACGACATTCTTCCTGGCGGTGAGGACAGGGTTTCTGGCGGTGAGGACAAGGTTCCTGGCAGTCAGGAATAGGTTCCTGGCGGTGAGGACAAGGTTCTTGGCAGTGAGGACAAGATTCTAGGCGGTGAGGACAAGATTTCTGGCGGTGAGGAAAAGGTTCCTGGCGGTGAGGACAAGGGTTTTGGTGGTGAGGACAAGGTTCCTGGCGGTGACGACAAGATTCCTGCCTGTGACGACATGGGTCCTGTCGGTGAGGTCAAAATTCCTGGCGGTGAGGACAAGGTTCCTGGCGGAGAGCACAAGGTTCCTGGCGGTAAGGTCAAGATCCCAGGCGGTGAAAAGAAGGTTTCTGGCGGTGAGGACAAGCGTCCTGGCGGTGAGGACAAGTTTCCTGGCGGTGTCGACAAGGTTCCTAGCGGTGAAGACAAGGTTCCTTGCAGTGACGACAAGTTTCCATGGAGTTACGACAAGGATCCTGGAGGTGAGCACAAAGTTGCCGGCGGTCAGGACAAGGATCCTGGTGGTGAGGACAAGGTTCCTGGCAGTGAGGACAAGGTTGCAGGCGGTGAGGACAATGTTCCTGGCAGTGAGGACAAGGTTGCAGGCGGTGCGGACAAGATTCCTGGCGGTGAGGACAAGGTTCCTGGCTGTGAAGACAAGGGTTCTGGCGGTGTCGACAAGGTTCCTGGCAGTGGCGACAAGGTTGCTGGCGGTGACGACAAGGTTCCTGGCAGTGGCGACAAGGTTCCTGGCAGTGACGAAAAGGTACCTGGCGGAGACAACAAGATTCCTGGAGGTGACGACAAGGTTCCTGGCGGTGACGACAAGGTTCCTGGGGGTGAAGACAAGATTCCTGGCGGCGAAGACTAGGTTCCTGGCGGTGAAGACAAGGGTTCTGGCGGTGACGACAAGGTTCCTGGCAGTGGCGACAAGGTTCATGGCGGTGAGGACAATGTTCCTGGCGGTGAGGACAAGATTCGTGGCAGTGAGGACAAGGTTCATGGCGGTCAGGTCAAGGTGCCTGGCAGTGAGGACAAGGTTCCTGGCAGTGAGGACAAGGTTCCTGGCGGTGAGGACAAGGTTACTGGCAGTGAGGAAAAGGTTTCTGGCGGTGAGGACAAGGTTCTTGGCGGTGACGGCAACGTTCCTGGCGGTGAGGACAAGGTTCCTGGCGGTGAGAACAAGGATCCCGGCATTGAGAACAAGGTTCTTGGCGGTGGGGACAAGGTTCCTGGCCGTGAGGACAAGGCTCCTGGCAGCGAGGACAAGGTTTCTGGCGTTGAGGACAAGTTTCCTGGCGGTGAGGACAAGGTTCCAGGCGGTGAGGACAAGATTCCTCGCGGTAAGGACAAGGTTCCTGGCGGTGAGGAGAGGGGTTCTGGCGGTGAGGACAAGGTTCCTGGCGGTGACGACAAGGTTCCTGGCAGTGACGACATGGGCGCTGTCGGTGAGGACAAGGTTCCAGGCTGTGAGGACAAGGTTCCTGGCGGTGAGGACAAAGTTCCTGGCGGTGACGACATGGTTCCTGGCGTTGAGGACAAGGCTCCTGGAGGTGAAGACAAGGTTCCGGGCGGTGACGACAAGGTTCCTGGCGGAGACAACAAGGTTCCTGGCGGAGACAACAAGGTTCCTGGCGGCGAGGACAAGGTTCCTGGCGGTGGCGACAAGGTTCCTGGCGGTGACGACAAGGTTCCTGGCGGTGACGACAAGGCTCCTGGAGGTGACGACAAGGTTCCGGGCGGTGACGACAAGGTTCCTGGCGGTGACGACAAGATTCCTGGCGGTGACGACAAGGTGCCTGGTGGAGAGGACAAGGTTCCTGGCGGTGGCCACAAGGTTCCTGGCGGTGAACAAAAGGTTTCTGGTGGTGACGACAAAGTTCCTGGCGGTGATGACAAGGTTCCTGGCGGTGACGACAAGGTTCCTGGCGGTGACGACAAGGTTCCTGGCGGTGAGGACAAAGTTCCTTGCGGTGAGGACAATGTTCCTGGCGGTGAGGACACGGGTTCTGGCGGTGAGGACAAGGTTGCTGGCGGTGACGACGAAGTTCCTTACAGTGACAACATGGGTCCTGTAGGTGAAATCAAGGTCCCTGGTGGTGAGGACAAGATTCCTGGCGGTGACGACAAGGTTCCTGGCGGTGACGACAGGGTTCCTGGCGGTGAGGACAAGTTTCCTGCCTGTGACGAGAAGGTTCCTGGCGGTGAGGACAAGGTTCCTGGTGGTGACGACAAGGCTCGTGGCGGTCAGCACAAGGTTCCTGGCGGTCAGGACAAGGATCCTGGTGGTGAGGACATGGTTCCTGGCAGTGAGGACAAGGGTCCAGGCGGTGAGGACAAGATTCCTGGCGGTGAGGGCAAGGGTTCTGGCAGTGAGAACAAAGTTCCTGGCGTTGACGGCCAGGTTCCTGCCAGTGACGACATGGGTCCTGTCGGAGACGTGAAGTTTCTTGGCGGTGTGGACAAGGTTCCTTGCGGTGAGGACAAGGTTCCAGGCGGTAAGATCAAGATTCCTGGCGGTGAGGACAAGGTTCCTGGCGGTGAGGACTAGCGTTATGGTGGTGAGGACGAGTTTGCTGGTGGTAAAGACAAGGTTCCTGGCGGTGAGGATAAGGTTACTCGCGGTGAGGACAAGCTTCCTTCCAGTGACGACAAGGTTCCTGGCGGTGAGCACAAGGTTCCTGGTGGTCAGGACAAGGATCCTGGTGGTGACGACAAGGTTCCTGGCAGTGAGCACAAGGTTCCAGGCGGTAAGGACAAGATTCCTGGCGGTGAGGAAAAGGTTCCTGGCGGTGAGGACAAGGGTTCTGGCGGTGACGACAAGGTTCCTGGCAGTGGCGACAAGGTTGCTGGCGGTGACGACAAGGTTCCTGGCAGTGGCGACAAGATTCCTGGCAGTGACGAAAAGGTACCTGGCGGAGACAACAAGGTTCCTGGCGGTGACGACAAGGTTCCTGGCGTTGACGACAAGGTTCCTGGCGGTGAAGACAAGGTTCCTTGCAGTGACGAGAAGGTTCCAGAGAGTTACGACAAGGATCCTGGAGGTGAGCACAAAGTTGCCGGCGGTCACGACAAGGATCCTGGTGGTGAGGACAAGGTTCCTGGCAGTAAGGACAAGGTTGCAGGCGGTGAGGACAAGGTTCCTGGCAGTGAGGACAAGGTTGCAGGCGGTACGGACAAGATTCCTGGCGGTGAGGACAAGGTTCCTGGCGGTGAAGACAAGGGTTCTGGCGGTGACAACAAGGTTCCTGGCAGTGGCGACATGGTTGCTGGCGATCACGACAAGGTTCCTGGCAGTGGCGACAAGGTTCCTGGCAGTGACGAAAAGGTACCTGGCGGAGACAACAAGGTTCCTGGCGGTGACGACAGGGTTGCTGGCGGTGAGGACAGGTTTCTTGGCTGTGACGGGAAGGTTCCTGGCTGTGAGGACAAGGTTCCTGGCGGTGACGATAAGGTTCGTGGCGGTCAGCACAAGGTTCCTGGCTGTCAGGAGAAGGTTCCTGGTGGTGAGGACATGGTTCCTGGCAGTGAGGACAAGGTTCCAGGCGGTGGGGACAAGATTCCTGGCGGTGAGGGCAAGGGTTCTGGCAGTGAGAACAAGGTTCCTGGCGGTGACGACAAGGTTTCTGCCAGTGACGAAATGGGTCTTGTCGGAGAGGTGAAGTTTCTTGGCGGTGAGGACAAGGTTCCTTGCGGTGAGGACAAGGTTCCAGGCGGTAAGATCAAGATTCCTGGCGGTGAGGACAGGTTTCTTGGCTGTGACGAGAAGGTTCCTGGCGGTGAGGACAAGGTTCCTGGCGGTGACGATAAGGTTCGTGGCGGTCAGCACAAGGTTCCTGGCTGTCAGGAGAAGGTTCCTGGTGGTGAGGACATGGTTCCTGGCAGTGAGGACAAGGTTCCAGGCGGTGGGGACAAGATTCCTGGCGGTGAGGGCAAGGGTTCTGGCAGTGAGAACAAGGTTCCTGGCGGTGACGACAAGGTTTCTGCCAGTGACGACAAGGTTTCTGCCAGTGACGACATGGGTCTTGTCGGAGAGGTGAAGTTTCTTGGCGGCGAGGACAAGGTTCCTTGCGGTGAGGACAAGGTTCCAGGCGGTAAGATCAAGATTCCTGGTGGTGAGGACAAGGTTCCTGGCGGTGAGGTCAAGGTTCCTGGCGGTGAGGACATGATTCGTGTCGGTGACGACAAGGTTCCTGGCGGTGACGACTGGGTTCCTGGCGGTGACGACAAGTTTCCTGGCTGTGACGAGAAGGTTCCTGGCGGTGACGACATGGGCCTGTCGTTGAGGACAAGGTTCCAGGCGGCGAGGACAAGGTTCCTGGCGGTGACGACAAGGTTCCTGGCGGTGACGACAAGGTTCCTGGCGGTCAGGGCAAGGTTCCTGGGGGTGGGGACAAGGTTGGTGGCGGTGACGACAAGGTTCCTGGCGGTCAGGACAAGGATCCTGGTGGTGAGGACATGGTTCCTGGCAGTGAGGACAATGTGCCAGGCGGTGGGGACAAGATTCCTGGCGGTGAGGTCAAGGGTTCTGGCAGTGAGAACAAGGTTTTGATTGATTGATTGACATCTTTATTTAAAACACGAGGTCCATTTCACAGGTTATGTTATGTGCTCTTCAATGGAGACGTGTACCTATACTAGTCGACTAATTACTAATAAAAAAGTATCAAACTATTTACAAAGGTAACAAACTACACATGCAAAGAAACTAATATAAAAGAAATATTAAGATATTTTAGATTTAAACTCAACGAGAGATTGAACTCTAGTGAGTTCGACGGGTATGTCATTCCAGAGGGTAGCTCCCCTGTAGGAAAAACTTTTCTTCAAGTATTCCGTTAAGGGTCTTGGTAGAAAAAGTTTATGATTAGATCCACGCAAACTATATTCGTGTATCATTGACGTGGAAGTAAATTTTCCAGACAAATAACTAGGAACCATATTATTAACAGTTTTGTACATAAAAGTTTTGAACTGTTGGGTACGTCTGGTTTCAAGGTTGGTCCAATTCAATGATGTTAAAATATCTGATGACCGGATGTTATAATCAGATTCAGTAATAATTCTTGCAGCCTTATTCTGGTAATCGCTGTGACTTTTGTCCAAGACCCTTACCTAGGCTATTCCAGACAATACTACAATAATCAATCAAAGTATGGCTGTGCTAAAGAGTTATAGATCATGACAAGAGTTGACTGTGGGAGCAATGGTTTTAGTCTTCGTAGAACTCCAATCACCTTGGAGACTTTGTCCCATGTCAAACTCTAGTCCAGTTTTAAACCTAAACACTTATAAGATCTAACTCTTTCAATTTTGTTTCCGGAGATAGCAATATTAGGTTCTTCAGGAATAGTACTTAATTTTTTCCTGGATGCCATAAACATACATTTAGTTTTAATCGCATTCAGGCTTAGTTTATTCAGGTTAAGCCAGTTTTGGAGAGTTTTAAGGTCGTCATTTAGAACAGAAATCAACTTGTCAGGGTTGCTGTCCGCAAAAGTCAAGTTGGTATCATCAGCGAATAAACGCCCATCTGATACCAATTCACTATTAGGTAGGTCGTTTATGTATATTAAAAACAGTAGTGGACCTAAGATAGACCCCTGAGGAACTCCACATGTTACTTTACGAGTATCAGATCGTATGTTGTTAATAACTGTTATTTGAGTACGATCAGAAAGATAGTTTCTAAAAAGATCAATCGCTTCTTTGTTGAAACCGTAACAAGTTAACTTCTGTAGTAAAATGTTATGATCAATAGTATCAAAAGCCTTTTTTAAATCAATGAATAAGACAGCATTTATTAACCCACTGTCCATGTTAGTGTACCATTTATCAGTGACATCAAGCATAGCTGTTAACGTTG